GATGGCCTGGCTGGCTGGTCGCGGCGGGGAGCGGCGTGCCGCCCCCAGGCCCAGCCAGCAGCTCTGGCGTGGGGCCTCGCCGATGTCCCCAGGGGTCCTGACATCTAGCCCACACCACCCACTTGAGTTTATCCATTATCTTTTTCCTCTGCAAAAGGCACTATTAAAGAGCTGCTGGCTAGAAGAGTGGGATTTAAGGTAGAGGAGGGAGAGGGAGAAAACAAAAAAGGGTCCGCTTTGCTAGAAGCATCCTGTGTGTGTATGTAGCGAGGCTGCCAGATCCAAGGGACACCTACCCTTGAGCTGTTAATGGCACCCTGTGCTAACTTCTAGCTTTGGTTCCAAAAACTTTGGGTGTCTTGGCCGCCCAGCTCTCATTTTAACTCTTCCCTGACTGCCAAAGAGCAGGCTCAGCAGTAAGTGCTGTAATATCTGGCACGGAGATCACCTCTCGTCCTAGCACAGGCCCCAGGCAGTTTGCATGACAGCTGCCCCGTGACCCCGTTATTTATTATTCCAGAAACAAAGGACCCCAGAATCATCACGACAAACTGATTCAGCCAAACCCACGGTGTGAGGTATAAAACGTCTAAATCTGTCATGCGCGGGCCTCCCGTATGCTAGTCCAAGGGCAGCAGGACCCACGTGAAGCCTCCTTTTCCTCCCCGTCTCCTGGGGAGAGGAGCCAGCCACGGGCTCTGGCCAGGGAAGCAGCTGCTGCAGCAGACCAGGGACCCCTGCGTACACAGGGACTTCACTGCAGCTCATGAGCCGGCGTCCCCCACCACTGCCCCTAGGTCCCCGGCCACCTCCTCTGCCGCCCAGTCCCTTCATCTCCCCCTTTCCGTCGCTCCTGCTCTGCTCCACTTTCCGCTGCCACCTCAAGCGTGGCCCCTGTGCTGCCCAGAGCCACCAGTCCGTAAAGCAGGTCCCTGGTTCGTCCTCCATCTTCTCTGCCCCAGCTTGTGCAGCTGTAGGCAAGGGACCCTCCTGCCCCAACCGGCACGGCTGGGTGGGCCGGGAGCTCTTTTGCTGGGCACAGTGGCGAAGGCTGGCACCAAAGCCACCGCTGGGGCACCGCGGGCTCGCTGACACAGACAGGAGACTTCCAGCTCACTTCCAAATAGCGTTTTGGGGTTTTTTTATGGTTTTCTACCCCAGTTGCCAACTGAGTCATCTTCAAAAATTCAAGAGCGGATGGAGAGTGAAAATTAAGTTTCCTTGTTACCCTGAGGAGTCATATGGTAATTGGTCTATGGTTGCTGGCAATGGATTATTTATTTTAAGAAACCCTTCTCTTTACTAGTAAACAGATGCGTTTCCCCAGCCCTGGCCTGGCTGGACAGGGAGAACTGCCTCTGTGCCGGAGGAGGTGCTGTCACACCAGGGCATGAGGAAGGCATGAGGAGCACTTGCTCCATCTATGGGAACAGCCTGGTGTCTGAATGCTGGGCTTTGCGGAGGCTTTGGTTTTGGCAGCTTCCTTAGGCTCGGGTTCCCCTTAAATAGCATTGCAGGCCATGTGGGCAATGTTTTGACTTGGTTTTTTTTTTCTTTTTTTTTAAATGGGGAGCGGAAATATGGGGCTTAATAAGAAGAGATGCCATTTTCACTCAAATCCAGCAGAAACAAACTTACCTTATGAGAGATATGTCGTTCCCCATCCCTGGCTGGAGCTGCTGCCTACCCCAGGAACATTCACATTTACAGCAGTAATGGGAACCTGATCTGGAATGCCCGTTGTTTATAATATTCATACACACATCCTCTTTTTGGGTCAAGAAGTTACTGTAAACTTTTTTTTCTTAACGCAGGAAAGACAGACCCCACACCTCCCTCCAAGGAAAGGAAGATGGATATAGTGTCAGGCTCAATTAGATCCAATTGTGGTGGCTTTCCCTAAAGCGAACAATGCAGCTTTTGTGATGGACTCCCAGCAGAAAGCTTGGAAGTCTTGGAAAGAGGGGAGGAAAAACCAACACGCGCCCCAAAGTCCAAACCTTGAGACAGTCCAGGTCCTTAGGATGCGGAGGAGATGAGAGTGTTTCTTCTGAAGAGGTCCAGAGTTGGGCATGATTTTCCCCTTTGAAACGCGGCACTGACCTAGAAGGGGTGAGGTGGTTGGAGCTGGCAGCAAAGGAGTATGCCCAGTCCAGCCTCAACCAAAAATATGCGTGGAGGCAGAGGGTGAGGACCCGGGGCAGGCCGGCCCCGGCGGCAGAGGGGACCTGCTCTGGTCGGGCATCCCACCCACCTGGAGCAGCACCCAGCCAGGGCTGCTGGAGCGGGGCAGCGCGGGGGCGGGGGGGGGGGAACAAAGTGGCCTGCTCAGGGCTGGAAGTGCTTAAAATGCAAATGTACAGGAACTTCAGACCATCCCCCTCCCTCCTCCTCGGCGCGGAGGAAAGCAGCTTAAATACAGCCAGGCCTGGAGAGGAATGTTAAAAAGAGGGGAAGAATCGCCCTCCTCCTTTCCATAGGGACCCGGGCCCGGCCAGATTGAGTATGCATTGGGGGGGAGGCAGGGGGCGGGGGGCGAGCCCCGCCGCCGGGCTGCGGGGAGAGGGGCTTTGTCGCTGCCCTGTAAACACCGCTTAAGCGCCAGCGCCAGCAACAATAAAAAACCCACATCGGGGAAGGCTGAAAAGGGACCCCGTCGGGTTAAAAGTCATACATTGAGGAGAAAGATTACGGTATAGGACAAAGGACACCTTGGATTAGGCAAACTTTTTTTTTTTTTTTTTTTTTTTTACATTCCCACTTTACTTCCTCTTTAATCTTAGCCTGGGCAGTGGAAACCAACCAGGACAGTTCGGATTTCCCAGGTCCTCGTGCGCCGGCGAGGGCACGGTTCCCGGTGGCTGTCACTGCTGGGAAATGTTTTATTTGATGGGTCTTCCACCCAGGGCGGGCCTCAATTTAAGTAAATCACAAAAACCTCTGCCGTCTACCTGGAGCTTTAAAACATTAAGAAACAGCCCTTCTGTCCCCCCTCCCAAATGCCTTCCTCTACCACTGAATACCCGATTCACTTGCTGGCGAGCGTCAGCACTTTTGGCTTGCCTGACCTCAGACGGAGCCGACGCCTCACACCGATGGGCAGCTGAACTCGGTTCCTCCCCGAGGGTCGCTGCCAGCGCCCTCGCAGAGAAGGCTGGTCCCACCAAACACCTTCCTCGCAACCCCTCCGTGATGATGTTGCTCAACATCCTGCACGGGAGGCGCCAGGCGCTCTTCCCTCTCCTACTCCCTCCCTCCCGGCAACACGAGCGAGCACCCCCAAGCCCCCGCGGTGAGCCGCACGGCATACTTACCAAACCCAACGCATCGATAGATACTTGTCTTTAAAAAGCACAGACAACACAGATACGGCTTTTTTTTTTTTTTTTTTTTTTTTTTTTTTTTTTTTTCAAAAACATACTTCATATTTCCTCTTTTATTATATAAATATGTTTAACCTTTTACTGTAAGAATATAAAATGTTTTAAGAGGATCTTTGTTATTTTTTTATACAAATTCACAAACAGTACAATTAATCCATAGGGGTCTCTGGGTTTGCATTAACTCCGTGGTCTGGCCTGTTACTGTGGAGGATTTGAGATTTTGAACAGAAGAGCAAAAAAAAAGCCAAGATATTTTTCTTTAAAAAAAAAAAAAGAACCAAAACCAAAACTTCCTCTTTAAAATAATAATTAAAAAAAAAAAAAAATCTAAAGACCCAGCTCCATTTTATTGACAGAACAGAGATAAGACAGATGAACTTCAGTCTCCTCCCCTTCACATCGCAGCCTCAGGGCCTGCAGGCCAGCTCTGCTCCTCTCCACCTACAACCAGGAAGCCTCGTGTAGTGACCTTTTGTAGGTGATTTGGGAGGGGAAAGCATTTGCATATATCTATATATATAATTTTTTTTTAAACAAACTTGCATTTTACACATTTCTGTAGTAGCCCAATCCTCAGCGTGGATTCTCGCATGTTACACGTTTGTGCTAGAAGAACAAAAATGCAGAAGCACAGTTCGGGTCCCCAGTCCCCAGTGAACAGGGAGGGAGAGGCACAACCAGAATGTGAAGGTGGGACACAACAGGGTAAGCTTAAAAAACAAAACAAAAAAAAAAAAAAAAAGTAACAAATTAAAACGAGGTAGCCAGACATCATATATATATTTATATATATAGAATATATTCAGCAGAAAAAAAATGTACTTAAAAATCCACAAGAACAGCAACTTCAAATGTCTTTAAAAATAAAACCATGTAAGAAAATGAATACTGTAAAGAGAATGAGTGAGGAAAACTGGGATCAGTTACAGGACATAAGCAAGGGATAGATGCTGTAAGAGGCTGTTTTTGTAGCAGTAATTTTTTTTATGCATTTCAAAATAAAAACAGGTCACAGTATCTCAAATGAAGCAGAAATGAAGCTGGAGATTCTTCCTCAATTCCCCCAGGGTAGAGGGGAGCTAGCCACCCCTTCTACCCGCTCAGCCCCGACCCACAGAGGAATGGATATGTAGCTGGATACGTCTATCCCTGTTGCCAAGAAGAAGGAGGGGAGAAAAAGAGAGAATGATGAAAGGGAAGACGAGTCTCAGTAACTCTCAGTGTCCCCCAGTGCATGGGAAGGCTTAAGAGACTGGGGTCCGTGTCCAGTCCAGTCCCCCCAGAGACAGGAGAAGGAGGAAATGCCATCTTCATCTCCACTAGAGAGATGGGGAGAGAGAATGGAGTGCCTAGGCTTTTCCGTTAACCATAGTGCAGGATGACACGGAAACGTACTGACAAAAGGAGAGGCTGTAGCTATCCCTAGTCTCAGTGCAGTGGAGAACTGGAAGAGTGGGAGGTTGTATCCACCCACAGCAGAGAATAACGTGGAACTGGAGATTGAAAACAGATTTAAAAAAAAAAAAAAAAAAATATCAATGTACCTAGGGAGCAGTATTTCTGTCACAATTCCCAGTTGACAGGGGAGGAGCAAGCGCAGAGGTGGAATGGTTATTTTACCAAAAGCTGTGCCTGTGCCCAGCGCAGGATGACTGGGTGGTCGGGTACATAAGTGTAGCTAGGAAGCCTTTTCTGCTGTTATTGTTTGTTCCCATCTCCATTCCCACTCTCCTTTACAGCAACCAAAAATAATCTATCCTGAATACACGGCAGAACACGGGTCTGTCTTTATCCATCCTTAGTGCATGAAGGGATGGAATTGGGGAGTGGGGATAAAGAGGGGTGTCTCTAGCCCCAGTGCATAAGAGTGTGGGCTTCTACCTCTTCCGCAGGGAAGGATGCTGTTGGGAAAAGGGGAGCTCTGTCTCCCCAGCATAGAGCTGGAGGCATGACCTGGAAAAAGGATAGGTGCTTTCTCTCTCTCCTCCTGCCCCCCCTTCCTCCTCTTCCTCCTGCAGGGCAAGGGTAGGTTGGCAGCACAGAAGGGTTGAGGATATACTCTCTTTCTCTACGTTCCTCCCTCCGGTGCCAGGGTGCGTGGGTAGCATGGCTCTGTGCGTGCCCCTCTCTCTCTTTCTCTCCTCCATTGCAGCAGTCAGTCAGTAAGTCAGTGAGTCCCTCCAGAGGAGATGGAGGTCTCGGGGTGCCCCCCTCCTCTCACCTGACCTTCTCGCTCTCAGTCATTTCCCACAGTCCCAGGTTGAGCACCTTGAGGCAGGGCAGCTGGGTGATGCGCTCCAAGCCCCGCTTGGTGATGCGGGTGCAGCCGTAGAGATCGATGCCCGTGAGCTGGCTGAGGTGTTCGGCGATGAGCTCCAGGCCCTTGTCAGTGATGCGGACGCACTGGCCGATGTTGAGGGTGCGGAGCCCGTGCATCTGCCGCACCATGCGGTTGATGCCCTCGTCGCTAATGTGGCAGGAGCAGAGGGAGAGGGAGCGCAGCCCGTCCAGGCCCTGCGCGATATAGGCTAGGCTCTGGTCCCCCACCTTGTCGCAGAAGGAGACGTCGAGGCCGGAGAGCCGCAGGCTGCCCATGGCCAGATGCATGATGCCCGTGTCGCTGATGTTGTCGCAGGAGCGCAGGTTGAGGCTGCGCAGGCTGCTCATGTGCGACAGGTGCAGCAGCCCCGCGTCCGAGATGCCCCCGCAGAAGCTGAGGTTGAGCTGGCGGAGGCGGCCCAGCCCACGGGCCAGGTGCTTGAGCGAGAGGTCGCTGAGCTTCTGGCAGTCCTGCAGCGTGAGCTGCTCCAGGCCCAGGCAGCCCTCGGCCGCGCTGCGCGTCATGCCCGCCAGGTGCCCGATGCCCACGTCGGAAAGGTGCCGGCAGGAGCGCAGGTTGAGGCTCTTGAGGCGCTGCAGGCCCCAGGCGATGAGGAGGAGGCCGGTGTTGGTGATGTTGCTGCAGCCCCCCAGCTCCAGCACCTCCAGCCCCTTGAGGTACTGGGCGATGCGGCCCAGGCTGCTGTCCGTGATCTGCTTGCAGAGGCTCAGGTTGAGCGAGCGCAGGGAGCTGATCTCCGCCACGAAGGCGTGGCCCAGCCCGTTGTCGGTGAGGTTGTAGCAGCCGCTGAGGTTGAGGCTCTCGATGTCCGCCATGCCCTGGATCACGTAGCTCAGGCTGCGCCGCAGCGACAGGATCTGCACCCGCCGGATGCCCCGCGCCGCCAGGCTGGGGAAGAGCGAGGGGTTGGCGCGGCGCAGGTGCAGCTTGGCCTCCACGCCCCGCCAGACCGAGCGGTGGTAGGCGGCGTCCCGCCAGGCCGTGCACACCTGCGCCGCCCGGCCCTTGTCCCGCACCTCCAGGTACCCGAAGATCATGGCCAGCAGCTCGGGGAACAGGCACGAGATGTGCGTTTCCATCGCACGCCCGCGCCCGGCCGCCCCC